AAGGACAGTACGGGAATAGACTTTGTAACGAAAATCTTAGACGAAAACAAAAGTCTGACAAAAGTGGAGACTATGAAAGCTAGAAATTTACTTCTTCGATTCTCTGATGTGTTTTCAAGAAGCGATGGTGATATTGGCCGAACTGGTTTGGTGAAGCATAAAATAAACACAGGTGATACAATGCCAATTCGTCAAAGGCCCAGACGTATACCATTCGCTCGTGAGAAAGAGATTGAAGAAATGATTGACGATATGAGGAAAAATGACGTGATAGAGCCCTCTTCTAGCCCTTGGTGTTCACCTGTCGTGCTTGTCAAGAAGAAAGATGGTTCAACGAGGTTTTGCGTAGACTATCGACGATTGAATAATGTAACCAAGAAGGATAGCTACCCGTTACCAAGAATCGATGACACACTTGACACACTGAGTGGCATGAAATGGTTTTCAACGCTCGATCTGAAAAGCGGCTATTGGCAGGTGGATTTGGATCCCAAGGACAAGGAAAAGACCGCATTCTCAACTGGGAAGGGACTCTGGCAATTTAAGGTGATGCCATTTGGATTATGCAATGCACCGGCAACCTTTGAGCGTTTGATGGAACAGGTGCTGGTGGGACTGCTGGGCGAAACCTGCCTAGTTTACCTCGATGACATCATCATTGTTGGACGGGATTTTGACGATCATCTAAGGAAATTGGAAAAGGTACTCGACAAGCTGCGTGGAGCAAATTTAAAGTTGAGTCCAAAAAAATGCTCTTTCTTCAAGCGCGAAGTGAATTATCTAGGACATGTTATTTCTGAGAGAGGAATTGAGACTGATCCAGCCAAGACTGTCGCTGTTAAGGAATGGCCAACACCTAAAGACAAAACGCAAGTTCGGGCATTTCTTGGATTGTGCTCGTATTATCGGCGGTTTGTGAAAGGATTCTCGGACATTGCCAAGCCATTGCATCGATTGACAGAGGAGAAACGTGCCTTTATCTGGGACGAGGATTGTGAGCAAGCCTTTCGAGAACTAAAAGAACGGCTTTGTAACACACCAATTCTCGGATACCCCAGCGCGAAAGGAATATTCGTAGTTGATACGGATGCCAGCAATATTGGAATAGGAGGTGTCCTTTCACAACGCGATGGTGAGCAGGAGAAGGTTATTGCTTACTTCAGCAAGTCACTAACCAAGCCGGAGAGGAATTATTGCGTGACCAGGAGGGAATTGCTGGCCGTAGTCAAAACTCTGCACCATTTCAAGAAGTATTTACTGGGACGGAAATTTTTGATCAGAACTGATCACGCTGCTTTGAAATGGCTGCTTCAGTTTAAGGATCCCGAAGGCCAAGTAGCCAGATGGTTGGAACAACTTCAGGAATTTGACTTTGATATCGAACATCGCGGAGGAAGAATTCATGGCAACGCAGATGCATTATCGAGACGCCCATGCGTGGAAGATTGCAAGCATTGTGCCAAGAAGGAAACTGCTTTTCTTAAGGTGATAAGGACTGATACTGTTGACGAGGCATGGGGAGATGATGCGATGAAATTAGAACAGGAAAGAGATGCAGATATTAAACCAATACTGGAGTGGGTACGAAGTGGTAACAAGCCAAGTTGGAGTGACGTCGCCCAATATAGCGCGGTAACGAAAGGTTTATGGGCACAGTGGAAAAGCCTTACGCTGCATAACGGACTTCTGTGCAGGAAATGGGAATCAACAAACGGCAAGGACGAGCATTTGCAATTGGTGGTGCCTCGTTCAAAAATAAGGGATGTATTAAAAGCGTTCCATGATGGATCTTCTGGAGGACATTTGGGAATTAGGAGGACTTTGGTGAAGATCAAGGAGAGGTTTTATTGGTTGCATTGCAAATATGACGTCGAAGATTGGTGCCGGAAATGCACTAGTTGTGCAGCTGTCAAGGGTCCACAAACAAGAAGCAGAGGGGCGATGAAAATCTACAATGTTGGTATGCCTTGGGAGAGAATAGCCTTAGACATCGCTGGACCATTTCCAATCACTGATTCGGGCAATCGCTACGTTTTAGTGGTTATGGATTATTTTACAAAATGGCCGGAGGTCTTTGCCATACCGAATCAAGAGGCAGTAACTGTAGCCACGAAGTTGGTAAACGAGGTATTCACCCGATTCGGAGTGCCCTTGGAGATGCACAGTGATCAAGGACGGAACTTTGAATCCCAAGTTTTCCAGGAAACTTGTAAACTTTTGGGAATCCATAAGACTCGAACGACCCCTTATCATCCACAGTCAGATGGAATGGTCGAACGCTTCAACCAAACATTGGAGCGACACTTAGCAAAGGTGGTTGACAGCCATCAGAGAGATTGGGACACTTACATACCTCTCTTCTTGCTTGCCTATCGGACTGCTGTACATGAAAGTACCGCAAAGACGCCTGCATTTGCAAATTTTGGAAGGGAATTGAGATTACCGGCAGATCTTGTATCGGGCTGTCCACCTGGTGACTCTCGCACCGAGTTTAGCGATTACATAAGCGAGTTAAGGGCAAAAATGTTGGACATTTATGAGCAGATCAGGGAGGCCGGTCTTCAAGCTAGTGATCGCGCAAAGACGCGCTATGATCGACGAGCCAATTCTGTTGGGTTTGAAGAGGGGTCATTGGTCTGGCTTCATAATCCAGTCAGAAGGAAGGGAAAATCTCCAAAGCTGCAACCGAGTTGGGAAGGTCCTTACGAGATAGTCACGAAGATCAATGACATTACTTACAGAATTCGGAAGTCTTCAAGGAGCCCTTTGAAAGTTGTCCATATAGACAGGTTGGCGAGGTATTACGGCAGCAACGATGCTCGGGACGAGCGAATCTAAGAGGGGGGCAGTGTGACAGAAAACTCTTTGACATCATGACGTCAATGGATGGTTGTCAAACGTTGCCTAGAGATTGTAAATTTCGTCGTGAATTGTCAACACGAGTTGGTGTAATCGGTAAGGCGTGTGGATTACACCACAGAGACCCCGAGTTCGAGTCCCGCCGTAAACATGAAGTTTTTTAGTTGATGGAAGTTTTGTCGAACTTTCTGGAATATTTGAGTGAAAGTAATGAAAAATTAAGGAGCGAGAAGGAGAATAAATAAAAATGAATAACGAAATTATTGGAAGGTTCTGGAGGCATGACGATCAAAAAGAATAACGAAATTGAATGTTCTAGAACCTGACCGGGGGTATATAACCGGAACTGCGGCTCACCGCTGGCAGTTGAGTTCTAAGTCTAAAGCGATTCGGAAGAAAAGGAAGAAGTGAGAAAGAAGAAAAGTGAGTGAAATAGTGAAGTGCAGTGAAATAGTGAAGTGCAGTCAGTTAAGTGAGTTAAGTCAGCGTGAACGGCAAAGTTGTGTCAGTCGGCCGGACTCTGCTGGAGAGGAACGCCGATAACTTAACTCCGTGGACGCTGTAACTTAAGTGCAATAGAAAGTCTGAAAACCGGTATTAGTGTTTCATTTCATCCAATCCCGTAACCCAAGCCCGCATAGTCAGGAACGTGACGTCAGGCACGTAACAATACTTATTCGAAGAAGAGTTAGGTTTTCATAAGTCTTCTTATCGTTCGATCTAATTAGAATTATAATTAAGTTTAAGTACTGGAAGAAGAGTCTACGGCAAATTTCAAATAAGTCAAAGCCGTTCATGCATACAGTCACAAAACATAAAAATTCTAAGGATCTACAGGAATACGGTGTTGTAAATCTTTAACTTGTTGATTAGGATATTTATCTTCTTAATTGTGACTACTAAACATGAAGCGAATAGGAATAAAACAACGCCATCTATATTCTATTTCTGGAATCTATCACAGAAAAGCTTCCCGATTCTCGCAATGAAGACTGCTGTTATGTAGAGCGAAAATGACTGAATACATTCAACCGTTACTAGATGGCGCTAAAAGTGTAAATACAAATGTTAACAACAAGTTATTGATTCACAATCCTAAGACACAACAGAAAACAACTAGACAGCTACTAGAACTACATTATACATACAATAGATACAGAAGACGATAGACGGATGGAAATTCTGGGGCATTAGCATTACAATTACATATCTAAAACACTAGTACGACTATTTATACTAGGGGGTAAACGATTAATTTGGCAATTAGAGACCCTATTTACATAAGAGAAATAAGGAGTCGCTATCCTATTAATATTAGGGCTACCTTAACAAATAATCCAAAAACGTTTGAAAATTTTAACAGGAAGATGTTTATTATAAAATTATTGTTCAAAATTTTGGCAGTTTCTAATACTTTGTGTCATTTATTTTTATTTAGAACACGAAACACATTGAGTGGTTGGAGACGCTGATTTCAGTTCAATACTTTAGGCAGCCCAAAATATACTTCTAAACAGCGTTTCTAGCTCTCCTAAAGTTATAATAGCATCTATATTGAAGCGGAAATCCAACTAATAAAGACTGACTCACAATTATTAATCCTAAACTACTGTTTACATTCCATTTGAAACTAGAAAACCGGTTAATACTTTGGCTATATTACTATGAAAAGAACAAAAACTTTGCTTTTGAGCAAAGATGTCATACAATAGAAGTCATAGGTCACAGCGCTTTACTTAGTCAATAATTTAGCTTACACATAATATTTACAGCACTCAATCGTTCACACAAATCATTCAGATAAGTGCAATACATTCTAACAATCAACAATAAAAAGTGCTTTAGGAATCGTGTTTTTGGTTTATCAACAATTTGATTGTAGACGAAGATTGCTTTGTTGGAAAGAGCATGATTTTGTATATGTATGTAAATCTGTTTTAAGTTATTGAAGTTATGGATCGAAAAAAAACTTGAAAGACAATAAAAATTCGGTGAGCTGTAATCGAAAATGACTTCAGCAAAATCATGCACTTTCCACAATTTTCCATCCAAGGTAAATTACAGGTTTCAAGTGGCATACTGTGTTACAAAAATATTTATACTGAAGTCTTTGTATCTTATATATTATATAACAATATAGTTTATAATGATCGGTTATCATCTATGTTAGACACGTTTTGTCCTAATATATTTAATCTATTATGAACGTGTAGTTTTTCCTCTAGTTTTGAAGGATCATTATCGGACCCTTCCTTTAGTAGCTCCCATAAATTATTCTTGTCTAATATTTCGAAGCCACCCTTATTTTCCGGTGCGATATCGTATTTGAGAGTTTCTGACAACGTCTTTGAAGTTTCGGAAATTGGCGTTGGCGGGATTTTATGTATCTCTTTGTTTATAGACTTCATTGTTTTCGCATTGTACTTTTGCGGAATTATTGTTTTCTTTTTTGTTTTGTTTATAATATCGGAGTTGATATCTTCGCTTTTGTTTTGTCTTTCAGTATTGTGGATATTGTTAATAACTGGTTTCTTAATTTGAGTTACAGGTTTAGGCTTCTTTGTCCTGTAGTGTATTGATTTGATATTATTGTTAGTGATAGCTGTTATTGTGTGAGGAATGACTGATTTGATCGGCTTCATTGTTGTAATATCGTTATGTGTAATCGGAAGTTCTGTAGTTTTAATTTCAACATTAATAGTTTTGTTAACATTAGTCATATTTTCCTCCGAATTTATATTAACGATTTCCGTTTTAAGTTCTGTTTTGTTAGCTACAATATTTACCGGAATAAGTGGTTTTAGAGCGTCTGTTTTGTTAAGAACGATTTTATGTTGCGCCTTTTCTGTTTCTAAGGTAATCGGAGGAGCCGTATAGTTTTTATCATTTAATATTTGTCGAGGTTCATCAGTAGATGTCATTGCGATTATAGTAGTAGTAGGAGCAGGAGACGTAATTATTGAAGTAGTAGTAGCAGACGTAGTAGTTGAAACAGAATTTCCCATCTCCCTTAATTTCAAGAAGAATTTTTCATGTTTGTCACCGTATGTCGCTTTTAATGTTCCCTTTCTTCTAGGCAGTGGTTTCTTCTTAATGTCTTCTTTCCTTGACAAAACTGATTTTGGCACGATGAGTTCTCCACTTATCTTTGGCAATAAAGAACCTAAGTCATTATTGATATCCTGCTTCTCAGTTGTATTTACGTAAGTCACAGTTGGAATTATGATAGGGTCGTCAATGCTTTCGATTTTGATAGATGAAATATTATCAGTAGTGGTTCTATCAGTAGTTGTTGTGTCCTGTGTGGTTACAAACTCTGTAGTACTTGACGAAGTACTGGTTTCGGTACTTGTAATTTCTTCAGTAGTTGAATGTTCTGAAGTGGTTTTTGTACTAGTTTCTTCAGTGGTTGTATCAACGTTTTCTGTTGTGCCTTCAGTGTGCTCCTCGTCGTTCTTCCTAAATTCATAATCCCTGCTACAAATACGCCCACATTCACAAATGTTATCGATACTTGTACTTGTTTTAAGACTAGCAAGTTCAGTTTTATCAAACCATGTTATGAAATCGTCGTCAGTAATGCCTCGTAACAGTGGGCTTCCAGGTCGAGCGTGGAAGAATGTTTCAACTGCCAGATCTGGTCGCGTCGAAGGATAAATCTTGGCGAAAGCTGGTCGCAAACTTGTAATGACAAATTTGGAACGTACTTCATAGGTGACGCAAACAGGACACGTGGAGCTTATCTGTAAATTGAAGAAATTATTAGTCGTCAGTCGATTTTGGAGTAGATTCTGCACTTGTTGCAAGATTGACGAAATAAAAATCTCTTGTAAATGAAGATTTTTTAAATTAAATTATTGGTTTCGCAAAAGGCTTTAATTTATTTCGCCTTATAGTGTAGTTGCAGCAGCTAACGCGATTTGATACTTTTTCTGCTGCAACTCATACAAGTAAACGATGATTAGGATGATTTTTTCTTTTGAGGATGGAACCATGAGATATATTATTAACATTGTTAATAATACAAAATATACTTGTTTTCTATAGGAAAAAAATCGTAGATTTGTAATCGTAATAATTCAAAATATCTATTAATACTTACGTTAGCAAAGACGAACCATACGGACTCTCCTCTAGATCCGTAATGCAAATCAGCGAAAGTAGCGCCATCTAACACCACAGGGTTTACTGAATGCAATTCATAGCCCGAGAACAGAGACGATTCTAAGCGAAGGATTCCTGAACGTTCTTTACCCTTCCATCTGTAATTTAAAAACATGAAATTATTAATGATTTGTTAGTGAAGTTCTGATTTCAAGTTAGAAGACGAGTATATTTTGGAAAGTATAGTTTTTGAGCTGTAGTTTCAAAATGCGAACTTACTTGAAACAAGTTTTAATGATCAGCGTAGGTAGATTTCCTTGCAAATCCTCTATGCTACTCCTTTCAGGCCGAATTTCTTCAATGATGGCAGCTTGAATGTTCAACAATGCGTTCTCAGGTTTTGGTGTGTATGTTGAATATGTTATTGTTCCCTGCAAGATTAGGTTAAAATTTGAATTAGTAGTTAAATCTTTTAAAAGAAATTCGTGTTATTTACTTCACTTATAGCTCAAGAACGGCTGAATATATTTAGCTGTAAATTGGCACGGAGGTAGTTTAGAGCCAGGAGAAGGGCTAAGGGGAATAGGATAGGATAGAGTAGGTAGTGTAGGTTAGGTAGAGTAGGGTAGGTAGAGTATGGTAGGTAGAGTAGGGTAGGTAGAGTAGGGTAAGTAGAGTAGGGTAGGTAGAGTAAGGTAGGTAGAGTAGGGTAGGTACGGTAGGTAAAGAAGGGTAGGTACTCAAATGACGGGAGAGCTAGTTATTTATATTCTTATTAAACACCAAAAGCTTTTTCCAATTTATGACTTAAAAACTTCTTAATTTAAGTTTTCTCATGATATTTACCTGAACAGTAGCACATCCAGCACCAGTAGCGTACACAAACACTTTTGTGGGTAAACCTGGCAGTTGTAGAGGACGAGGTGGCGTACGTGCGCGGAGTTCCAAGGTGTCTGTCAATTCCATGCCAGCTGTTGCTAGCGATACCGTGAGAGCTCGATGTCTGTAAGAAATGCGTTGTAAGTAAAGTAGATCTAAGATAAAAGATTAGAATATCTTAAGAAACGCAATTTTTTTCCAATTTTGATTATGTTTGAATTTAAGCTTTTTATTTTGTAATTGGTTAGTGATCTGTGTTTCACTGTTCATTTTACCTTTAAGTTGATCAAAACTGATGACCGTTAAGGACTCGTGTCACGTAAAATGTCGCATTGAAATTCTTATTAGTTTTACGAGGGCTACAACAAATTTATAGTACCTGTCATGAGCTAATGCGGCATATTGCGCAGCAGCTTTAGTAGCACTGTAGGCCAGGCTGGGGTGCCTCTGCAGTGTAGAAGCGCGGTAGTAAAGGAACCTTGCTGCCGCTTCACCTTCAGCTAGGGCACCGCGAGCACACGCAGCTAGCAATACTCGCACCCCAGCTACATATTGCTCCATTGTTACGGCTTCTGCAATAGTAACATTTCATTTTAGGTACAGACCTTTGATCTCAACTATCACAGGTTCTTATAAATCAGATTACTGCACAATCACAGATCAGAAGACTGTACAAATTAAAGTATGTTCTTTTGTTTTTTTTTGTGCTGGGGGACTCTATCTCTTGTTTACTATTTCTTGTCTATAAGACTCACTACTTTTTATGAAATTTGATAAAAATAATAAATCTAATTTTATAATTTATCAACACAATGAAAAGTTTCAAACTGCAATTTTATTAGTATCTTTACCATATGACGTCGTTTTGATATTTCTAGAAGTTTCCTCAAGTAACCAGTCAGCAGCATCCTTTCTCGGTGCTGGCCATCCGAACTCGCCTTCTTCTGTTGTTGATGCATTCCTTAGAATCACCAACGCTTCTGGTACTATTGGACTCCTAAAATGATGTGAGATCATTATTTATTAACTTTTAGACTAGCGATATAAATGTAATTTTTCGTAGTAAGTTATTATCATTTTTGACAACATTGTACCTCTTAACGTTTCATTTGCTTAAAACATTTTATACTTAATTCCTTACCTAGCTAGAACCAGAGCTAAGACAGTAGCAGCAAGAGCAGCTGGAGAAGTTAAATTGTGCAAGTTATGTTCCAAATAATTCTGAGATTTCTTCGCAACGTCAGCGTCAACCTGAAAACGACGATTTATTAGAAAGGATCACTTATGTATACTAATACAAATATACTTAATTCATTCAAATTATTGAACATCACTTTATATTGGTTTTCTTACCTGATTCTCAACTCCAACTTCAAGCAAAGCAACCAAAGTCTCAGCAGTCACTTCAACTCTTCTTTCCCAATCGATTTCTTCTTGAGTCATGTTCCCATCCTTATCGTAATAATAATATTCATTAACGTCTACTTCTTTTGCTGTACCATTAGACTTTGTTATATCTACTGGATAATAATCCACTTCTTTATCAGCTGCCAGAGGTGTGAAGGATCCATCTGCGTTCTGTCGCTTTTGTATCCATTTCTTTATGTTTTGAAGCAGTTCTGGGTCAATCGGGTAGTAAGATTGGATCTTCGTCAATATTTCCAATATCTTTATTGTTGAAAGGTGACTGCTCATTCCAGGATGGTCGCTGAAGGAATTGTCGCTTTTCCGGAAGGATAGTAAAACTTGAACCTGTAATAAAAAGTGTTCCATTTAGACCTTTTATAAAATCTTTATTTATTTAACAATATTTAGTTGATTTTGGATCTTTTAGTTGATCAAAAATCAAATTAGAACATTTAAAAATTACCTGTTCAGGCAGTTTTTTTAAGATTCGTTCCCTTTCAGCATCGTCAACCAAATGTGGTATATGTTCCAAGGCCAGTAAAGGTGCTAAACTGGCAGAAGCTGCTGACAGTTGCGAGTCTCTCCAAACTTCAGCCCATTGATCTGTAGAGTCCGTTTGAAGACTATACAGGGGAAGATGAAGACCTCCAGATACTAGTAGAGTTCCACTTGCAGATCCTGGGACGACACCATGTGGTAGACCGAGTTCCAGGACTTGAGAGAATCCTGCTTCTTCGTTAAAGTTCCAAATTCTGCAATTCGCAAAAGTAATCAGAATTAGATATGCGCCTTTTTTAGTTTTAGTTTTTTACTTTTAGAATATTTTTTGGATACTACTTTAGATTTTATAATTACGTAAACTAAGTTGCATGCATGCATGCATGTGAAAACTAAAACTTCATACGACAAGGATTAAAGTTCTATTTCGAGTTTGTGTTCCTAAATTCGATTAGCAACTTATACCGAAACACTCACCTAAAATCAGCCTTATCTCCCCAAAGTGCACTGAAGCCGACAAACTTGATTCTCATGTCAGGAGCAAGAGGCCAGACGAGGAGTCGTCTTTCGGAAGGTGAGGCTCCTCGGCCTACGGATAACCTGCCTCCCTCCCACCAGACCCACCAGGCGCACCAAGAATCAGCTCCCGAACAGTCCTCATCACTCTCCGTTTGTTCAGCACTAGCCAGATGGACATCGTACCCTGAAACGGAGTTAGAACATAGGTGTGCTTATTGTGTCTTACTCATAATCGATTATCGTTATACTTTTGAAAGTTTTTACATATTACTGTCATAGTAATAAACGGTTTTATTCTGAGTTTTAATTTTAGATACTTCTTATGAGCCTTAAAAACTTTGGAAATGACTTCATTATTATTGAATGAATCGATTTTAAATTGGATGAAATTATTTGACTACGCAATGGCACCACTGTTGCACGCTGGACTGCATGCCAGTTCAGTTGTGAAATAAAAGTAGTACAGCTTTACCCAGTTTATTCACGTGAGTAAGGCGTTATTTTCTATAATAAAATGGATTGAATAAGTTACAAAATAAAATATTACATTTTTAAAAAAAAACTCACCATGTTTTCCTTTAGCAATCCAAACTCTTGTTCTTTCAAACACGACTCTATACATGTCATCTGAAGGTTCTCGTATTGATGACAATGCCACGTGAGCTGCTCCTTGAGATCGCAGTTCCAGTACCAACCCTGCTCGATTTCGAGGGGCAGCTACCCATTGCCACTCCCAAGATCCTCGAGAAGACACTGCCAGATGTTCTGGAAGAAGAATACGATATATTAAGAGGAGTGCGTAACAATGCTCAATAATTGGAGTAAATAGCCCTTAACTTGAGGCCCGCTTAATATTGACTATATCTATGCTATTTTCTATGATATCATTATGTAGACAATTAGTAGGTAGACGAGCAAGTTGATCGTCCTATAATAAGCTATCGGCGCTGCCCATTTACAAACGAAACTCCATAGGTGTTATTTATTATCTTTTCGGCTTACTCACGTAATAATTTGTATTGGAGGTAGTGAAGAAAGAGTATTGGTCTCTAGTGACCTCATTGATACGGTGAAATACGCCAACGGTTGTTTCACAACGGTTTCCCATGTTGTCGTGGTGAAGCGGTGAAGCGTGCCTAAACATGGCTCTCCCATACTATTTATTTTCTTGCCAATATCAGATTAGTTGGTCAACTACTTCTTCCACTTATTACTCAATAGAGTGACAAATCATTTACCGTTAGCACAGAAGTAGGCGCTCTGGGTGTCAGTCCGGTGTAGACCTTCAGGCAGCACCAACACGCTGGCTGACCTGATGACGGAGCCGACGAGAGTCTCGTTGTTGAAGGATGTGTAGGACACGGAGCAGTTGTCCGCACTATAGCCGGTCACTTCCACTGAAAGATTTAAAAAATTATTCTGATTATTACATGGCAGCTGGTAACTGTATCTAAATCATTCTATTCCAATAATTTCGTTACTTTTCAAAAATTAGGTGTAGGTATAATTTAATCGCTAAATTTGCTGCTTAGTGCAAAATTTCTTTGTTATTGTCGGGAGCAGCTTCCCGTTATTAGTGATAATGACAATCCATTATCTTTGAAATTGTACAAACATGTTCCATATGTCGGAGAGTCTAGATCTGATGGTAAGTAGATATCACTGTACTCAAGTGATGGTAACAATGACACTTGATTACAATTTTTAAATCTTTTGCGGCTATTAGGTACTTTTACATTGTGTCAACGGACAACCGTTAACCAACCTCTTCCGATTGGCACTCGTCACCCATCTTCTTTATAAGCAATCCCGGTATTGATACAAGTTCTCTAAAGTTACCTTACAGATGATACAAAAAATAACGATGCACAATCAACCGCTATAATGGTTTAAAAGTTACCTAATTCTTAGGAAATAATTCCCACGTCCCGTTCGCGAATGTATTGTTAAGGTAGGTATCACAACAAACACCAAAAATGTAGTTGTAGTATTTGAAAAATATGAAATATAAAATGTTTTCGAATAGCGTGACAAGATAAAAATGCAGTTTCAATAGACACAATTTTCAATGCACACCTTTTCTTGAGTTCAACCGTGTTGTAGGTTATGTGCGACAAAATAAAATACTCACAGATGTAAAATAAGTTTGTTCGACTTGTTTTAAATGAACCTATATTATAGAATTTATTCCTAAAAATATGACAAGGACTGTGTTAAGTTACGATGAAATTTTTTTATGGTACCTTATAGGTCGACAAACCAGCTGACGGATTACCTGATGGTAAGCAATCAGCGCCACCCACGGACACCTGCAACTCCAAAGGAGTTACAAGTGCATTGCCGGCCTTTAAGGGATAAGGGTTTGAGATATTTAAGGATTGGCAAGGGATGGGCGGAAGGGGAAGGCAGAACCTCACTCACATGGCGAAACACAACGCTGTGGTTGTTTCACGCCGGTTTTCTGTGAGGCCGGGGTATTGGCCGACAAATTCGTGCTTGCTTTAATTCCGAAACTTGGCTTTGCCACACTTAAATGCTCTGGTTAGCTGTTTAATATATTATATGATATACAATGAAGTACCTACTTAAAGAGTACATAAAAATCATAAGTATATATAGATACTTAAACATTATTATATTCCAATACATTACCGTGGTCTCAAATAAGTATAAAACTTGATTATAAAGACATGATCATCTCCGAAATTTCCAGGATTTATATCATCGACGTGTCTTAATAAATCAGGGTAATAATAATTTTGCAAAACATAAAATAATTTTATCTCTGTAGTTCCGTTGAATCTCGTTCACGACATAGCGTTTTTATATCAATTTTTTATTACTATGACCGTAAGAGAAAATTTTGGTGCAAGATGAAAGCAATAGCGGTCCGAGATCAGCGATATTTTTTTGTTTTATTTAATAATAAGTAGTGCAAATATAAGTGTTTTGTTGTTCATATATTTTCTTGTTAATATCCTAATTCACCAATATTAATTTAGAATATTTGTTTTATACATTTTCTGAATTTTATGGTCTGATTTTATGTTTGTTTTCTTGAAGTTATATGTTTATTACGAATAACTTTAATGAAACATCAATACATGTACCCCATAACAATAACTCACTGTACTAAAGTACATTGACATACCTATATAACAACTGATACTCAATTAATATTTGCCATTTTTTTTAAGTTTTAAAATAACTTTACTATTATAATAATTATTTTATAGTATTTGTCGAATGTATATAAATATGTATAACTAGCGGCCAGCCCCGGCATTGCACGGATGCAATACTGATCCTAAATTTATTCACTATTTACTGGATGTATAATAAACCTACCCCTTCAATCACACAATCAATTTAAAAAATCGTACCAAAATCCATCGCGTACTTTAAAACATTTATCATATGTATCTATATAGGGACAGAGAAAGCGACTTTGTTTTATACTGTCTTTAATATAAAATTGATTCTTAATCCTATAACTTAAACCACAACCCACGATCACACGTTCCCCGTAGCATACAATCGTATTGCAAAGGTAATAGAACCTGCTACGTTTATTGCTAGCACAGACATAGAAAATACTCGGCAAGGAATTGAAATACAATGAGTATCATTTTATTGTGGCGGGATTGAAGCTAAACGTGGCATGAATGCCACTTCAGATAGCTAACTGTGAACGAAATATTGATTTTCATGTCGACTTTTAAGGGTCTCTGCAGTTGTGAGTGTTTTAAATGATAACGCTTTACTTTATTGTTGAAAATGAGGTTATCGATAAAAATAATGTTTATTCTTTCATTGTTCTCCGAAATAGTTATTTTATGTAGATTAATTTTAGGTATCTATCAGCTATCGTAAGGTTGGTAAAAAGTTTGGCAAAAATGATTATTAGATATTGGCGAATTCTTTAGATATGTATGTACGTTTTTGAATTTGGCTCATTGTCGAGTGCTTTGAAGTAAATGTTATGTTCAAGTAAGTAAGAAGAACTAACTACACTTCTGTTGACGACTTACATACCTATCTCCCTACCTTTAGCATGATATTTTATGTCATTATACCAACTATTATCTATTGGTATATTGTAACACCTTTTATGTAACTTTGAACACTTTACAGATTTTGTACATTCATTAACTGCTTTTCGGGTTTTCATTCCTATAGGATATTTTCGTATTATTCTGTTTTAAAACAGTTACTCGCGATTTTATATTTGTACGTACGGGAACTTTAAGTTCCGTTTTCCTATCTCTCTAAAATCTTTGTTGAAATTGTTTCAAATTGTACTTATATTTACCAAATTTGATTAAACTCGGTTCAGCAGTTTCCATTCTTTTTGACTATTAATTTGTTTTGGATACCTCCTCTGCATATACGCTCAATGGAACCATACGTTGTCGTTTTGATCAATCCTATTATTAATCATCAAAATATCATAAGCCATAACTAGACTCTCTATCGTATCAATTGCTAATTAAGTCCAACATGCAACGTCGAGTCCTATATAAATGTTTGTAAAACAAACAATAACAATAAGATTGTCTTACTAATCGTGCGATTTGAATACACAAATTAATGTATCATCAGTGGAAAGAGATTTAGATTGTGTTTTGAAATTAGAACCAGTTAGGTTGAATTGCGGCTAAATTTTGACCTGGGTTAAGTGCTTGAATAAATTGTCGAGGACGTTAAGAGGTGTTTTAGTTAGTGAATGAAAGGATTTAGATTACCTATTCAAATCCTTTTGGTAGCTGTAATGGGTGGTTAGTAGCGTAAAATAAATGTAAATTAAAAATCTTTGATAAAAGACAAATTGGGGTCTGTTTTCAAATGGATTCTTTTGTATAACGCATTTGCGCTATAGTTTTTATAAAAGGGTAAATAAAATGAGGAGATATTTTAAATCTAACTTTAATTGTAATTTGTTTTCGTTTTCGTTTTCGGATATGGCTGTCAATTTTAAATCTGGAAAATCCAAAGACTAAACAGGTTCTAAATAGGAATAGAATTCTTTTAAAATAAAATCTATATCGGAAAATTCCACAAAGAAATGCCGCGACCTTAACGATTCTATTTTTAGAAAAATATTTAAATCTCTATTTGACATTTCTATTTCTCTGAAATAATTCCTGCTAAGTAGTACACATAATAGCGATTCTCAATAAATTGTATCTATAAATAAATAACGAAAAAGAAATCATTTCTCCACCAGTCGAGGCAAATATATAAATTTTGGAATCAGGCACTTCAACAACCTCTTTGCACTTCAATAAACAAGATTCTGACAGACATCTTTTGTTTTTTATGTAATAGGTCGGCAAACGGGCAGACGGATTACCTGATGGTAAGCAATCAGCGCCGCCCATGGAAACCCGCAACGGAGAAGTTACGAGTGCGTTGCCGACCTTTAAGGGATTAGGGATTTGGAGATTTAGGAACTGGGGAGGGATTGGAAAGGGGAAGGATTGGGCCTCCGGTAACCTCACTCACACGGCGAAACACAACACTGTGGTTGTTTCACGCCGGTTTTCTGTGAGGCCGTGGTATTACTCCGGTCGAGCCGACCCATTCGTGCCGAAGCATGGCTCTCCCACACTTATCATGGCTCTCCCACACTTACTAACAAATATGCATAGATACAACTATGTATATATATATTTCTTCATCCGTATTAATTTTCAACTAAAACTTGGTCCAACTTTGCGATCAACGCTCATAAATTCGGGATGTCTTTAATTTCACAATTACGTAAGATTCTTAAACCGGAATTCGCTTCCACAACTTCATTAAAATATTTTGCTCAACAGATTTCTTCGGCGAAGGTTTTGGAATAAATTTCTGGTAGAATATTCGCGTTCTTAGTCATTAATTAAGTATTCGTTGTAGCTATTAATAAATCTTAGAATTGACAGGAGCTGACGCTGATTAGGTTTTTGGTTTTCATCTGAGAAGGATGGATGTTGTGGTGGATTTAACAATTAACGGTGAAGAGGAGATTTAATGAATTAGTCGAGAAGTTTTCCTTAATGAGATTTTATACGGCTTCATTATTTGTAATTTGTGAAACGATAGCTAAGTCATTTTTGAAAATAATTCTTTTATAATTGTTGGCGATTTTTGTACAAGGCTACAACATCTTTCTAACCCTACTTTAATACTATAAATGTGAAGGATGTATGTTTGTTATCGTTTCACGCAAAAACGGCTGAACCGATTTGGTTGAAATTTTGTTTGTAGATAAGTGATACCTTAATATAACACATGAGGTGTTTTATATCAATATACCATGTCAGTGATACCGAGAGTGGAAGCGAGTATAAAATAAAACCTCACAAAAATATTACTCTTTTGTTTTCAAGTCTAACACTATGGTAAGGAAGTTTGAAGAAAAGAGTATTTTCTCAAAAAACCTGTTTAGTTAGTTAGTTACCTGTAATATTCTTTCGTCCAGGCGTATTCACTGCCACTCTGACCACCAGTTGCGTTCCACCTCGAGGTCCGAGCCGAAGGCGTTCTGTCACGTACAATGCTCCGGTGCTTGCAAATGCCGCACCAGCGCTAAGTGCCAAAAGCGCAGTGACCTAAGAAACAGAAAATTAAGAATTATATAAAAAAACGATAACAAGTTATTTATAAATTTGAGCTGTAGATAGTAATATGAACTCTATATTCGTGATAAAGAGGGTCGTGTTTTCAGTAACCGATTTTTCAGTAATAAGCAGTTATAATAAAATTGATTTTTGGGTTCACAATAACACAAATGTTTTATGTATTTTTTTTTCTAATCGTGAAGAACCAATTGTAATATGAATTGGTTGTAGATCTTGGTTACTTGACTGTAACGGCACAGTACACAGTCGGGCAGCTCCCTGAACTAGAGTTATATTCTCAATCAATGGTCGGCAGTATGTCGACCATGGTATTTATAGTAGACAATGACAGTTTTAGTATTTTACTAATTAGAGATGTTACAACACCAATAACGCTACATAATTTTGCCATAAAAGACTTTAAAAGCAAGTTAATCAAGTTTGAACAAGATAACTAGATAGAAGTTCTATGGTATGAGCTTTAACAAAGTGCTTTAGCACTTAAACTAATTACTCTTTCTCCAAAGTCGTTATCATCTGGAAACATGCCCGGAGGACTGGCAGCATTAGCATTTTGTAAAACAATGCCAAAATCTTTAAAGCTGATGTGAACAGATAACATTTTGCGATTAACCATTTTGTTGTGTCGTAAAAACCGAATAAGTGAATGCACAGGTATCTGAAAATCTTGAACCTTTCTTTTCAAAGGGGAGAGTCATCAACTGACTTCTGGTCGGGGTTTGTTTGTCTTCTGGCTGACTAAAAACCACCTCGTTCCTTCTCCTGCTTCTGGCCAGGATTCATTATTGCGCTTGCTCACAACAAGCCTATACTGTAGATAAGTAAGTACTGAATTTTGTATACAATAATAGGGCTGAAACCTTCTGTTTGGAAAAAAACCCTAATTATAAAATAAAGATTTAAAAAAAAACAAGCCTGTACTGTAGAAGGCTTTTTAAGACCTTGGGGTTGAAGTTACAAGAATTGGGCTTCTTTTTGATAAACCCATTAGTGCAACTAATACATACGTTAAGTGAGCAAAGAGAGGTTAGTTCAGTACAAAAATCATTCTTAGGAAAATGCTTCAGTTAAAGTAGCAATGAATTAAAAAAAGGTTATTTTACATCATTACTAGATTAATCAAATGACGTTAACATTTTCTAGTGTTGCGATGCCAATTCAAAATAAAAACAGTTTCATTTTCCAAAGAGTTTTTCAATCAAAACAAAATTTAAGTAACAATGAAAGGACCACATAACACTATACGCATTTTAACGTCCCACTCAAGTTCGCACGTTCCAATAACGACAAAAGAATAACAAAGCTAAAATGAAATAGGAAAAGCAATAATTCTATGTTTTTCTTCCATCGAGAAGTAGAGGAGTGTTATATTTTCGCAATAATCGATATAATATTAGCTCAAATGGAATTTCTCGAGGTGTCTCCTCCTAGAGTCGTCCCGGAGGTGCAAAGTCAATAGCGACTAGCGCTTTGTTATTAAAACGGTATCCACAAGTTTAAGTTTTAGGAGAATTGTCTCGATGTGTTACGAATATATTTTTTAACGTTTGTGTAATTTTCTACAATACGGTAGTTTTCAACTACCTAGCCAAATTCAACACTTTTATCGAAATGTCAAAAACGATACTTTTCTATGAAATTTATATGAAATTCCAAATTATTAGGTCATAGTATTTTTGCGTCAAATACCTTACTTAGTTCTTAAAACGTAGCTAAAAAATATCAAAATTTTATTATTTCGACAATCAATGAATAAAGGTATAGTTATTTTTCATTATTTTATTGTATTGAGACGTCGAATTAATTTATTTTTGATCTAGGAAACTACCCAATTCAGACTTACTTACAGACCCCGAATTCATGAATCAATATTATTAAATACATACTTTCAAACAACGATAATTCAGAGCAACTACAAGGAACAGAGTAAAATTAATTTACACAGCATTTTGAAAAACAATATTATTGAAGGATTGTGAAACAAAACGTAATCAGATCTTGATTTAATTAATTGCGGCGTCAGTAATGAAGTTGTAATATCCAATTCATTTTGTTAGACCGCATTTTATTCCATGTTTTTTTTAATAAACGTAAATGACAAAGGGTAGCGCCTCGCCATCATTTAATATTATTTAATATGTGTACTTATGAAACATTTCCGTATTACTTGTAGGTATAACATTGTGTATGTGCAATTGTGCATATACAATATATGTATGTGTAGAGTATGCATGTATGTATAGTTCAGTGTATTATGTATGTTTTTATATGGATGTCTGGTATATTTAGTAGAACTTGCTTGCTTGTCGCACCTGCCACTAAATTATCTCTACATCACCCAAAGGTTGACTGGTAGAGAAAGCTTATTGTATTAAGTCCGCCTTTGTACAGTGTTTTGTGCATGAAGTTTTAAATAAATAAATAACATATTATGGACTTTTAATACACCACCAGATAATTTAATAGACCACCATACATCCAACAGATCCTTGGATCTTTAATATTGTTATAGTAACGCATTTGAAAACTAAGTAATATGTATTCGTCAGTTTTCTAATATTGATGAAATTCTATATTCAGTATAAGCCGTGATGGACCAGAGGTCAATGATTCTCATGCATGTGGAAATCTGACCAAGACAAATGTGATTCTTTCATTATTTAGACAGTACGAAACTATTCAGGAAAACATAATCAATTTTTAATTATGATTTAGAAGTCACCTATCCGCCTTGAGTAAGCGTGATGATTAATGCTCAAATCTTCTCTAGGTAGAGAGAAGACCCCGTACTCAGAAGAAGGCAAAGGCTGATGTTTTGATACGATACATTATCTTGATTAATATTTTTTTTACACTATTTCACATTACTGTTATGCAATACTAATGTAGGGAATATCAATAACAAGATAAATTTAGACGACCATTTTCTATAAAAAGAAGTTCGAAAACGAATACTTTCCTAGCATCTTTAAAACGCATGGCCACTCTAAAGTATACCCATCAGTCTCGAAGTGTGATTTGTAGTGTTGATTCGTCAGATATTTGGGCCAATAGAGGTGGGATAAAGGGGTGGGAAGGGGTCGTAGAGGGGTGCACAATTATCCCCGAACGGATATCTCCCCCAAATAGTACAAGGTATTTACCTTATCTTGTAGCGAGAATATTTTAATTTAAGAGTCCCGCCTGTGATTTATCGTTCAATTTAAGTGTTTCGAGTATACCTTTGAATGTTGCTTCGTTTGTTATAATTGCATGAATTCTAATGAATTCGTTTACGTTATATTTACAAAGGGCTTTATGGAAAATTTTCTGCGTTTTTTCCTCTTCAATTTTACATATTTTTCGTAATTGTTTGTTTGTTTTGTTTTTAGGTTTATATTCATTGTTATCAGGCTATAAGGGCTGTTAAGCAAAGGTTCACATGAGAGAGGTTTGACTTATCGATTGCAAGGCGGATTAGCGATTTCAAACTTATAACTAAGAATTATAAGTTCTGATTTCCTATTAATACTTGCCAGGTTTCAAAAGCGCGTCCTCGTGAGAGGATTATGAGATGGGTTTGCTTTAACTTCGTCGTCACTACGACAATATTTATTTAAAACACCTTTTGTCTATTCAATATTCAATTTTGAATGTTGTTTGTACTACTTATAGTTTTACTTTTTTATGTATAAAATAGACAAGGTTGTGAAGAAAATGAAAAGTGTAACGATATAAAAAGTAAAATTAACGTTTTAACTATATTACTAATAAAAGATTTACCAAAAACTGTAGTGGTTCAAATCATTTATCTTACGGGACATAAGATTTGTATTCATGACAACAATTAACCGAAATCTAGAATCTGTAACAGTACTAGCAAGCCATCAAATGAAAACTACCAACCATTTGTATGATATGGAGCCATAAAAACCATTGTTCACTCGATAAACCCTATCGTACCCAAACTAAGCGATGGCCACATGTGATACCAATTTGTTTGCGATCGGCGTCGCTCATCGAATCCCGATTAGGGATTCCGTGGATGATCCCAGCGATTCAGACGCGAATCCCGGCAAATGGAGCGATTAGGCAATCTACCCGCTTAAAGCGCTTCAAACTCAAATCAGCGTGTGGGAGCATCGATGTATGGGGACAATGTTTGAAAAGCGAATGCTTCAGTGTCTTAGAATTAAGGTTTGGTTAGTATTATTTGAATTTGAAAATTAATGTTGAGAATAAATACAAACAGTATAGGGGACCAATTCCCCATCGTAGAAGAAAACGATTTTTTGTACGTTATGCGTAGTCATTTTGTTTAATAATATATATTTCCAATTTATTGGGACATTAGGTGGTTCTCTTACGATACATAAAATAATCATCATTCAATTAATTCTAAGTTACGTAAATCCGAACAATAAAAGACAATAAGCATTATTACTCATCTTCAATTGACGAAAACGAAGGACTGTTTCAATTATAAAACTAAGCATATTGCTCGAAAACGGAGCGTTCTGTATGTATAATACCTACCAGTAGATTGGAATTAATTCTAAAGCCACTTGCCTTGTTTCTATTGATAGGTTAGAAAGCTTAATAAGACTGGGAGTCGGATAATACCAATAATGTCGATTGGAGCTAAATACCAGGTAATTTACTTTGAACTTCATTGGAACTCAGGTTGCCTCGCTAGGAATGCCAATTGTAGGTTAATGTGTACTTAATTATATTGCATTAATAACAAGTAAATGAATTGTATCTTTGAGTATAGGGGAACGCCATGCTTGTTCTTACACGAAGGGGTATGCTGTAACCCTTGAGTTACTTTACATAGTGCAACTTTAGACAGGTTGGCATTTGAGATTTTTGAAAACAAAAAATCTAATAACACTTTTTTCTATCTTTAAGTACACACCAAGCCTCAGACTACATACGCCGAATTGTTTTTTTTATATCATATATCGGAATGGAATAAACTCCCAGAAAAT